AGGTAATTGTGTCCAACAATGAATAATTAATAACATCTATCTAGGATCTTCCTAGTTGTTTTTATAGTCTAATATGTATTACGAGTGCTGGTGAATAAGAAAACATTTTTATTTATTATTTCTTAATGATATTTACAACTGTATTAAAGAAATACATTTAGTAAATTTGAACATATGGATATAATGACGTGAAAACACTTGTTGCGTAACTACCCAATGGTAGCAGAGATATAATTTTATACGACCGATAATGGTAAATAATAAACTATAGTGATTGATGGTACATGAATCTTAACTATTATTACAATACACAATATTTTTTTTTTTTTATTGATGATATTTACAACTGTATAACAAATAAAAATACATTCAGTAAATGTGAGCAAAAGAATATAACAACATGAAATCACTTGTTGAGAAACTACCCACTGGTAGCACTCTAAAAATGTATTTACAAAAGAAGATCTTGAGGCCATCTTCTTTTCAGACGACCCGGAGGGTTCTCAGGAACTGAAGAGGAAGCAAGGTTAAAAAAAAGAGGGTTGGGATGATTCTGAAGTTTATTATGGAAGGATAGGTACCTGGATTGGATCAGATCTGAAACATAAGAAACATTAAGGTCATTATGGATGGTTTTATTTGGAACAATGTAGGGAGCATTGAGGATTTTATGAAGGATTTTGGATTGAAAGGATTGGATACGAAAGGAATTCGATGGTTTAGTGGAGCCCCATAGCTCAACTCCGTAAGTCCTACATTATATATTTTGTAATTAATTGGAGCGTTTGTATACTAAGTGCTGAAGTAATCGGAAACGTCGAGCAGTTTCTTATCGTTTCAGTCTGGTATGAGAATTACGTGTTAGGCGTTTGTCCAGGTGGAGTCCTAGGTAGCGGATTTGCTCAACAGGAGTATTGTTATAGGAACGTTATAAATGGAGTATTGTTATAGGAAACGATAGGACATGGAGTCATTGGCTTACGACCAAGGGTAAAGATAATTTGGTGGGATTTATTTTAATTTTTCTGTTTTAACACCATTCTTCAAGATTTATGATGTGTGATTGAAACATTTGGGATGCAATTAATGGGTCATTATTTACTGATAGGATACATGCCTCATCGCCGTATGTGGTGATGATAGTGTTGGAATAAGAAAAATTGGAAATGCTTTTTGATCTATGATTAGATTATTGTTATTTTTATTTGGAAAATTTATAGTTAAAGTTAAGGGTTTTATTTCACTGTTGGTCAAAAAACACCCAAAAGTTATTCCTATTATTTATTAATTGAAACGTCCAATTGTATGGGCGACTGAAAATACTGCACTCTCTGTTTTTCTGTTATTGAAAGTTCGACAAAAACTAAATATATGCACTTACCTACTCAAACCCATCTGGACATACGCCTCTTAGATTTACGGTTCGGCAAAAAAGACGCACAAAAAAATTACAGTCATTTCAATTCAAAATTTTACGACTTATAACAGGAATTTCCTGGTACGTCAAAAGCGAAACTTTACATAACGACTTACGAAAACCAACTATAGACCAACACATACTGACCCTCTATTCTCGTTTTCATCTCAAACTACACGGACACATAAACAGACTTATAAACGACATAGCTACGACTGACATGCCCATCAGGAGGATATTAAAAAGGAGCTGGATGAGAGATCTCCTCACCTAATTCAAAGGAATAAATAATGTCCAGGAAGAGATGCTGCTGGGTACTATCCTTCCTCATGCCTATAATGCCAATCCTCGTCAGCACAACACATCTGCTGATTATCAATACCAGGTGCGGATAAATAGTAAAAGAGAAATAAAAAATATTATACAAGTATTTATTTATTTTGTGAAAACTGTAAAAAAGTTTACAGAAAGTTATGTTACATATTTTTACTCTTGTTTACTGGTTGAAGACTTTTCATTCCTAAAACTTATAACCCCATCGAAATATGCTCCTAAAAATTCTAAACCCCGTCAATATGTGCCCCTCAAACATTTTGATGTCGTACGTCGTACTTCTGCCATGATACACATTGTTGGTTAAACTATAAAGTTTAGTTAAACATCCCTGGTTAAAGTTAACTTCAAGTCTGTTGGAAGAATTTGCATAGTAAAACTTATAAAAAAAACTGATAATCAGATATTGGTACAATTTAATGCTATTATATTTGCATGTTTATTTTTTCAAACAAGGTATTTTTCACCATTGAACTAAACAATTTTTAAAAAATATATCTATAAATATATAAATCCAGACCTTAATGAATCTGAATTATGTTTATGCTTCTAAAAAATTAATTTGAAATCACCATTATATTCCAAGTTGTTATATTTAATATTTTAAAAAAATAAAATTTTTAAAAATATCAGGCAATTAATAAAATCGGGAGGCTTTGCACCATTCGTTTGTTATAGCCAAATATTCGGATATCGGACAGAAAAAGAAATTAGTACCTACGACTAGTAATTGCAATTTAATTGACCAACCTAGGTGTCGAACTGGTTTTTGTGTGATCTTACATGCAGAGTATGCGCTGAGTGGTCCAATCTTTCAAGGACTAATAGTTGGACCCAGTAGGTATGCGTGTAACGGTACCTTGGGGTCTGGAAGGGCTCAATAGGTAGGGATTTGCTGATCGCTACAGCCAGCTGTTAACACTTAAGAAAGAAACGTTTTTCATTATTCCACAGTGAAGTATATGCCTATAAAGTATAATAATTACAAAAACTTTGCGAATAAGATAGTAACAGAGAGTATTAAGTGCCCCTGATACTGATTGTTGATAGTTTCTGATGTCTAAAAGGGGTGTTTCGTTTTGTGATAAATCATTGACAATCAACCAACTCCCCTTCTATATAGATAGTTATATCCATGTCGATTCTCTTAAGTTCGGAGGACGATTGATTAATGGCAACTTCAAACTAATACAAACAGTTTTTGTACCCTTCCTGGATTGGTTTGTTAATTGTTAGAGTGACATAAGTAAAATAGTAGGTCTTATGTGATTACCGCTTGTTGCAGCTGCAGTATATTTACTTTACCAACTCTCCACAAATATGAACAATCCATTTTTCCTAAAACAGTCTGTAAAATACTTCATGATGTCTATATTTTTTTATCCAACTACGGTAAAACTACAAGGAGGGCGGCTGCTAATTTGTTTGGATTTAGTGCTTGTAGGTATTTCATCGAACGACTGCACCTATTTTTAAGTTTTGTATTTTATTAAAATATCATTTACTGTTATGATACATTAAGATGGCTCTGTGCAAATCTTTAACCAGACCTGAAGTGATATACCCTCAGAGTCATAGTTCTTTTCACCTACAGATGAAAATCAGCTTTCAGGTTTTCTAGAGACAAATTCTAAGAAGGATGTTTGTTTGGTCCTGTAAAATATGGTATCCAGGCAAAGTTGCATCAAATTTTCCGGAAACCGGATATGGTGTAATTTTTAGGGCTCACAAGGTTGCTATGGTCTGTGCATGTCCCAAGGATGGTGACTCACCAATCAAGAGGTTACTGATTGGGTATGTGGATGGAAGGAGAAAGAGAGGAACGGACTGAGTTGGCTAGATGAGATTCGAACCGACGCAGAGAAGCTTCTGAACACTAGCTTGCCAAACCCTGCCGCAAGACAGGGACGAATGGAGGTGACTTATTGATGCGTACCGGGTTGTAGTATATGTGGTGATGATAATGAACTATATCCCACGAATGTTTTAAAACATTTTCAACTCAAAACAATGCGAAATAATTGTATAAAACATGTTTAATTTATATTGAATATTTAATAGTCGACCGTTGCATTATAAAGGAAGGAGATGAATAGCGGTCCAGGATAGCGGTCATGAATAGGCTAAATAATAGCAAAACTATTTTATTAAAAGCCAACGTTACGACTTATAGGACTAATAGGCATATAGGAATGTGGAGAAAGAAAAAAAATAATAAGTATATAAAATTTGAAGAATAGAAATAGAGACTTACAGGTGTGTTCAGCTAGGATTTTCACTTATAACAGGTAAATAAGGGTTCGGGTAGGTATCGGGAAATTTTGCTGACCTGAATTTGTTGAATTTGCGGAATTTGAAGATATGGATGGATACAAGGAAAAAAAATACTATATCTATAAAATAATAAATTATAAATATATACATATAAAATAGAATAATGAAATTATAGATAAGAGTACAATGTGAATAAAAACAAAATTAGAGCAATTACATAGAAGTAAAATATAAATATAAAAATAAGAGACCATACATTGCAGAACAACTTAAGAAGTATAAAGAGGAGGGAAAAAAAACATGAATAATTATAATTATATTTAGTTGTGCATATGTAAGAAAACCACATTTAAATATTAGATAATATTGAGACATGCTTAAAAAGTTAAATGAATAAAAAGTGAAAACGGATAATCAAACATTGATGTAGAAAGTAAATATAAGTAACTTCCACAATTCTTTTTGTATATTGGCTGTTCTAGCCCTGAAGAAGATCTGCAAAGTCAGGTCGAAACGTTGGCTTTTAATAAAATAGTTTTACCACTATTTAGCCTATTTATGACCGCAAACCCGAACCCTTTCCTTCCTTTATGTTTAATTTATCTATGAAAAGATTTTATGCGATCTGGCAAGTGGATTTCGTTCCATGTGTCAACTATCGAAAGAATTTTGAGTTTCGTTCGGGAGTGAAAGACATCTTACTATTAATTTTAAATATTCGTATACAATTTCTCTAGCGATCAACTACGGTCTGCAACTATATATGTTTTAGTTATTGTTACTGTGTCTATGATTAATTCAGTAGTTAGTGTTGTTTACATTAAGTGTACATCGTTCATTAAGTTTTCGACTTTCTTATTTTTCTCTCGATTGGAGTCTTTATACAAATTCCAAATTAGTAAGTTTAGTTGTAGTAATATGTAAAGATGAGCGGGTGGATCCTGATGTAAATTGCCGATCTAGGGACCCACAGACAATGCTACGCCCACACGGGCTTTGTCATTGCCGCACCCTCCATCCTGCGGCGCTCTGCAGCCAGTCTGTCACCTGCCCTACCGTCAACATTTACCTCAGGTCCAACACAGTCAGGAGGTCAGTCTTATCATTAGTAGTGAGTCTATCCTTGTGTTTTTCTGTTTAAAAAAAATTAAATTAATAACTATAACATCTATTGTAAGCTGTGATGCGTTTTGTTTGATCGCTTTAATTTCAAGAACTGCTCAGCTCTGACAGTTCTTGTCTCGACTTTCAAACGATAGCCCTGATGAAGACCCACATGTTCGGTCGAAACATCAGCTAACCCATTAAAATTTTTTTGATTGAAATTCCTGACAATTTTTTTTTTCATTCTTATAAATCATCAGCCAACTAGAATAGAATAGAATAGAAAATAATTTTATTCTGAGACGAAGTCCCTTTAGAATAACAAAAAAGTACAAAATTAAAATGTTATATCTGCCCAAATAAAAACAAACATAAAAAGTAAAGATAAATAAGTAAAGAAAATATTAGTTATACATACTATATACAAAATAAAATAAAAAAATCTATATACAATACTCTTGAAACCTTGCTAAGATTTGTACAATCGTAAAATATAAATATACTCTTTTAGAAAAAATAAAAAATACATTCTTCTTAGCAGTAAACTCTGTGTTTCTGTTGAAAACAAAGGAAGTCGAATCTGCAAGTATTTAAGCGATGAGCTATATGTAAACACATTATTATGAATAATATGTAATTTTACATATAAGGTTAGCGGGGGGGGGGGAAGGGGAGTGTTTGACTGTTTTGGGGATAGAAATTTGAATAGGAGGGTTTTAAATGTAGACAGGGAGGGAGAATGCCGAATTTTGAAAGGAAGGGAATTCCAGAAATTAACAGAGAGATCAATAAACGAGTTTTGGAACGAGGCAGATCTGTGAGAAGGAATGTAAAGGTCGGAAGGTCGAGATCTTTTGGAAAGGGAATGGACTGAGGACTTGAATTGGAGAAGATTGTAGGCGTAAGAAGGACGATGATTGTTGATGATGTGATAGAGGAATGTACCTAGGAAATATTGTCTTCGAATGGAGGGGAAGAGCTACTCTAACTCAGTGTAGTGGTGGGAGACATCATGGGAGATGGGGGACTACTTACCCATCTATATCTTAATTTATTTGTTCTCTATATTATCTTCCGACAATACGCGATTCTAATTATATTGTGCAAAAAAAAATGTCTGCCAAGTAAAGTCAGTATAGCTTCCTCCCTGTTCTCATTGGCTCTATATTTCAAGGTCTATAATTTTTCGTTTAACAATAAAATCTTCGGGAGAAGCAGTTTTCGGAAATACAGTAATCCCTCGACATTCGCGGTGTTGATTGAACGAACTTTGTTTTTCAGCGAATATTAAAATACTGAAGAGTTCCATATTTCCAGATCGCGTATTTGATTATTTGTGATTAAAAAAAATCTAACTACATATTGAACAATCATATCTCTGTATATGTAAAAATTGAGTGTTTTACGGGAGAATTTATAAAAACGAATTATTTCCTTATGATTTATTATTATAATTTTATATGTTATTGCCCTCATCTATTTTCCATAGTAGCAGACTTCCTATATCAGTTTCAAACTACAAAATGTCATCTTTAGCACAAATAGAATGAAAATTGCAAAATTATACATGCCTCTTAGCACTAACAGTGGCGATATATACTTCATAGATATATTTTTTACTCGTAAAATGGATGGATCCAAAAATCCATTGGACAAATTTCAACTTTTTGTTCGTTCGGAATTAACGAGATTTAGTCTGTTTATACAGACGTCCATCCAAATTTGATCCTTGATGCCTGAAACATAAAACTCAAGTGGAAATTTTCGATTCTGAGCACATTTTTTTAACCTCTCGCACGAATATAATGCTTCCCTACCTTCGGTAGTGAGGAAGCAAAAATCTATTGAACCTAGTTTAATGTAGCTTAGCCTTTTCACTCATTCGAGTAAAGGCTGCTCCAGTCTTTATTTTGATTATAATGTCTCCGAAAATAAAAATCCGAGCTGTATATTGTAAGCAAGGGAAGTGTTGAGAATTCTTCTGTTCATTTTTCCTACTTTTGGTGTCTTGAAGTTTTTTTATTTGGTACAATAAATTAGGCCATTTTTCACCAACATTTTATTATTACGCATCAATTTTACGTTTCGACCATACTAAGGGTCATTTTCAAAACTTGATGAGTCCTCCTAATATGTTCATCCTTAATGTTCTAATTAATATGTTCAGTGAACATTTCAACAGATATAAGTCAGTCCCTCCAGAAATGACGTGGGCGAAGCCCCTATATAAATTGACAAGTTAATGTTCACTGAACATATTAATTAGAACATTAAGGATGAACATATTAGGAGGACTCATCAAGTTTTGAAAATGACCCTTAGTATGGTCGAAACGTAAAATTGATGCGTAATAATAAAATGTTGGTGAAAAATGGCCTAATTTATTGTACCAAATAAAAAAAAAAAATGTTCAGAATTCCTTCCTCTTTGTTATTCGAATTTGTATCTGTGACTGTGTATGCGACACCGTGCGCTTGAAGTAGTGACGAACTGTGTACTTCTGAACAGGACTGCATGTATTTGATTGAAGGATATTCATAACACCATTAACTAATTTAGAGTATGATACAAATGAAGATCAGTCCGAGCAAAGTTTACTAGAGTAATTTATACATCCTATATATATATATTATTTCTAAAAAGTGTTTTTTTTGTTGGTACGCCACAACTTCGTCAATTATTCATCAAATCCAATGATTGACCATTCATTTTGAAGATATTCTTCTCCTTCACATGCGAAAAATAGTCCTATCACCCCAAAATTTCTGGAAAAAAGTTATGAAGGAAAAGAAACTTTATTTGCGAATAACTCAAAAAGTATGCATTTTTTTCTTGATTGTACCCATGATAATTAGAAAGATTACTAAATTACCTACAAACAAAAAAAAATCGGACAATTATTAACAAAGATACAGTCCATTAGTTTTGGTATACTTAATAATGTCTTCTGTTTAAAGATATTGCATTTAGGAGTAGAATAGTCTACTACAATTTTTTTCCTGGCTGATATATTAACTTTATTATTTCTTAAAGACATTTGGTTGTTCTTACATTTTATTTTTTTAATAATTTAGAAAATCCCATGATCGGGGCATTATTTTGTCTTTATTACTTTTATTATCTTTCCAGTCAGCGTTTAAAAATAGGTCTTAGCAAAACAATTTGTACAAATATTTTTGTCTATTATATTCAATGAAATATTGTGATCGACCAAGAAAAAAATATTAATTCCTTCCTTACATAATAAATAGGAACTACTTATTTCCATATTGTTTTGCTATTTCTTCACTAAACAAAATTTTCTGCGAATTATTAGCACGGGCTAACTAGTTTTACTTAATAGTAAAAATTCTTTAGGTTTCAAAATGATTATGGGAATGTCTTTTTTTTTTTTTAATATAAATTTACGTTCCTGTCTTAAGTCAAAATTTGATAAATAATCGTTTAGTTATGCTGACCACACCATAATAAGCCAGGGCAGTGATTGGTTGTGTATATCCGTTGAAACATTAATTAGGACTGCCCTTCCTTTTGGGGATCATTAACAATTTAGATGGCATTGTCTGCCAGGGTCCTAACTTGCCGGAGATGGTAATCAGATGCATTCTCCTCGCCCAAGCTTCGTTACTCCGTTTCAAAACATATCCACATCATGTCTTTGTTTTTATTTACAGTTTCACTCAATGGTTGACAGTTTTTCCTTACGATGTCTTTAATATATTATCCATGCTTAATTTGATTTAAATGGAAAAGACTGAATTATAGTAGTAACGTCTTATGTTAAAGTTAAGTTAAAAGTCCATTTCCATATCCAACCCTGCCTGTCGCATAAAATATTTTTCCTTGGCTGTTTTCGGTAATTTTTTCATTTCTTATGTTTCTTCCTTTTGATTCCGAGTCATTTCGAAGATGCCATAGCTTACTTCTTTCAATGTCAATGATACGATTTATGTATAAGCCCTGGGATTTTCTGGAATCTTACTTTCTCCTGCAGGACTTTGGGTAGAATCATAAATCTGAGTTTTCCAGCCTAAATTTTGATGTGTATGAGTGGAGTAGCAGACTCAAGATTCAGTTGGGAAGGAATAATGCTTTCTTGACTCATCCCTACATTTAAGAATTGAAGTGCTTGAATTATAAAAAATTAATATATTGTCACGTATCACTCATAGAAACAAATATAGACCGATGAAATAAATAATTAATTTTAATTTATTTTTTTATAATTATTACACAAGCACTTCAATTCTTAAATGTTAATATCCCATCATCACCATTATTACTTTGGTATTAAGATTGAGACAGATTGTAGTATACCACTGTAAAAATATTTCAGCTCTTATATATATATATATATATATATATATATATTTCGATTTTGTTAATTAGGAATTAACTTTATTTCTAATAACAAAAGCAGATATTTAATCCAAATAGTCCCAATTATTTTTACTTTATATTCAACGTTTTAGCCCTTTGGCCATTTTCAAGAGGAGAAATCTTTTAACAGACAAAAACAAAAATTGTTAAAAAAAAAAAAAGTTTACTAGACACTTAAATTCATCATGTCAATGAAATGAAGTTCTTGTTTTGTTTTTTTAAATAATTAATAATACATTCAATGACGTTGTTGATAGTCATATTCTTGTTTTATTAATATATTATACATTTGTCCTCACTTAAGGGCATTAAGTATTAGAGTTATGTGAGACTTATCTATACCATGTATACAATAGCAAAAATAAAATAAAAATTATAACAAAAAAAACAAAACTTTAATAAAAACAAAAGAAATGAAACTTGGCAACATTAAATAAAAAAAAAAAATAAAATAACATATTTTTTTTTGTTTAAAAATGCCATTTAGTTGATAAAATAATGTTTAATGTTCCTTTTTTAATGAGGAATTCTCAATTGAAAAATCTTTATTAATGCTTCGGTTACTGACTGGGTCTGTTCATCTTTTGATC